TGACTAGGACTATCTTTTTCTATTGTTAGTCTTATTTTCTATTTTACTACTATAAGCATGATTTATTTGTATAGTACTTTAAAAATTAGGCATAGTTTCTGTTATTAGGATTAATAAAGAAGAAGATTCTAATATGATACTATAATGAGTTGAGAATGAGAAGGTTATGATTTAATTCCTGATTTATGGATGAGTCACCTGATTTATTTAGTCCCTAGCTTTTGTCACTTGTTAAATGAGAAAAAGATGATATTCATCTAGGTGTGGAGATGTTATCAAGTCTGGGAGTGTTCTGTTTGCAAAATCAATAGGAAAACTGAGCTCAAAACAAAACAGAGAGCAAAAACAGACACCTAAGCTTAAAGTCCAGTATTTGGCTATTTCGTTATAGTGTGAATTGTCTAGAGTATTGCTTTAGGTCTCTGCCTCATTTTGCATTGTTAGTAAACATCATCAGAAACACCCACAAATGTTTTAACTCCTTCACCTATAATATCTTAAGAAATTTAAAAATATTAACTGAAAGAGATATATGGAAATAGTCACCTTATTATTGCTATCTTAGGGATATTAAGATTAATTAATATTGATGATTCAGTCATTTCTCATGATCAGATTGAATGATATAAAGTTCGCAGTCATTGATTCCTTTCACTTCTCTCAGGCACACCCTCTGTTCCTATAATCCACCTTGGAGTATGAACTATGTTGAAAAACTGATGAATAAGGAATTTCCTATTCTTCTGGAATATGCAAGTGTTACAGTGAAATAAGAGGACTTTCATTTTAAGGTTAATGGTGACTTGTTAAATATATGCCAGGCATATAGATTGAATCCTTACACAATTTCCACAAATTTACATTGTGATTTTCTTCAGATTACATAAAATTTAATAATACAGTCTTTGGGATTATACCACATGGAGAATAGATGCATTTTCTGTTAATAAATCCAATTTGAGAATTTCTCTAACTCAGAATAAAGATGAAAAATCTAAAAGTGGGCAAACGAAGTATGTGCCTGGAAGCTATTTGGTACTTTTCATTACAATTTGAGGGAGTGATTAAAAAAAGAGAAAATGCAACTTATTTTCCCAAAAATGTTACCAAAGAAACAAGTTCTGATAATCTATTAATATACATCACAGTTTTTTCACATTTACAAATACCTTCCCTATTTTCAGACATAATTTTTAAAAATTTTCTCCTTTTGTTCACTGTGTCTATTTGAGTATAGCTCAACTAGATACAGAAGTAATTCTGAAAATTGTTAAAACTGTTAAAATATATGTTGTGATAAAGTCGTTTTAAGCAGTCCTTGTACGAATGGTTAGGCCAAGAGAATTCTGTTGTGAGAATTCATATTAAATATTAATATTTAGACAGTTAAATCTATTTTATAAGCAGACCATGTTATTGAGGAGGGATTGTGATGTCCTTCCTGACCTTCAGAGAGATGCTGGTCCAGATTCATTGAAAACTGCCAGTGAGTAATAGGTAGCTGATGGTATGTGATATTTGTTGATTTGTGATTACCACAATTTCCTGCTTTGCTTTGGCTTTGCAAACATGTCTTTATTTTCCACATTAATACATACGAACCTAAAAAAGGCCTAAGTGCAGTCAGCTATGTGCCCTCAACTGCAATTTTTGCAAATGTGACATGAATCCAAAATATATTATAGTTTTGATCAAAATTAATATGCAAATTTTTTTGTTAAAATTAGTTGTTTGGGAACAAGCTATATCCTAGAAGAAATAAAAAGCTTGAGAGCAAAATCAGAAATTCTCAATATTGGTAAGTGTTTAGCCGTTTAATTATTACACATGGGAGGCAATTATTTTAGTCAAAATGCATCTTTTTATTCTTTGAAAAACATTCAGTGAAAGCGTCTGTGGCACTGACATTCTAAAATCCAAACAGAGAATAGATGCATCCTAATAAGTAAGCTGATTCTAGGAAGGCTGGCTCTTGCTGGCCCAGCCTGTCTACCTTGTTCTGCATCGCATTGCAGGGGTAGGGGGATATTTATCTTTATTGTTCCTTTGCTTCTCCGCCCCTCCTCTGCCCTTCAACCCTCTCCATTTCTTTTCCTTCCATTCCCTTTGCTTTCCTTTCCTTCTCTTTCCATATGTTTTGTGTAACTTTAAAAAATTCCTAGTTTCGTCTTCTTTCAAATTGATAAAACACATTTGTAAGTGTCATTATGCTGTTAAAGATATACTACCAAAATAATACTTGATTATAAGAAATTCGCACATACAGAGAGAAAACATTATGAATATTTCAATTTGGGATAAATTATGGAAACAGATAATAGAATCTGTTTGATTTTTATAAGTAGAAAATACTATGGGACAGCTGCATGTAAAAGAATGAAATTAGAACACTCTTTAACATCATACACAAAAATAAACTCAAAATGGATTAAAGACCTAAATGTAAGTCCAGACACTATAAAACTCTTAGAGGAAAACATAGAACACTCTTTGACATAAATCACAGCAAGATCTTTTTTGATCCACTTCCTAGAGTAATGGAAATAAAAACAAACAAATGGGACCTAATGAAACTTAAAAGCTTTTGCACAGCAAAGGAAACCATAAACAAGACAAAAAGACAACCCTCAGAATGGGAGAAAACATTTGTAAATGAAGCAACCGACAAGGGATTAATCTCTAAAGTCTACAAACAGCTCATGCAGCTCAACATCAAAAAACCAAACAACCCAATCCAAAAATGGGTGGAAGACCTAAATAGACATTTCTCCAAAGAAGACATACAGATGGCCAAAAAGCACATGAAAATATGCTCAACATCACTAATTATTAGAGAAATGCAAATCAAAACTACAATGAGGTATCATCTCACACCGGTCAGAATGGCCATCATCAAAAAATCTATAAACAATAAATGCTGGAGAGGGTATGGAGAAAAGGGAACCCTCCTACACTGTTGGTGGGAATGTAAATTGGTACAGCACTATGGAGAACAGTATGGAGGTACCTTAAAAAACTAATAATAGAACTACCATATGACCCAGCATTCTCACTCCTAGGCATATACACCGGGAAAACCATAATCCGAAAAGATACATGCACCCCAATGCTCATTGCAGCGCTATTTACAATAGCTAGGATGTGGAAGCAATCTAACTGTCCATCAACAGAGGAATGGATAAAGAAGTGGTACATATATACAATGGAATATTGCTCAGCCATAAAAAAGAACAAAATAATGCCATTTTGCAGCAACTTGGATGGACCTAGAGATAGTCATACTGAGTGAAGTAAGTCAGACACAGAAAGACAAATATCATATGATATCACTTATATGTGGAGTCTAAAAAAATGGTACAAATGAACTTATTTACAAAACAGAAGTAGAGTCACTGATGTAGAAAATAATCTTATGCTTGCCAGGGGATGAGGGGGGAGGGATAAATTGGGAGATTGGGACTGACATATACACACTACTATATATAAAATAGATAACCAACAAGGACAGGGAACTCTACTCAATACTCTGTAATGGCCTATAGGGGAAAAGAATCTTAAAAAAGGAGTGGATATATGTATATGTGTAACTGATTTACTTTGCTGTACACCTGAACCTAACACAACATTGTAAATCAACTATACTCCAGTAAAAATTTTTAAAAATTAATAGAACAGAAAAAAAAAGAAAATACTATGCACACAGAGGATGAACTTTATTGAGCTAATATTTTAATATATTTTTAATGTGAAAATATTTCACATCATTTATCACACAAACCACTCAAAACTGCCTTTTTTATCCTTGAGAGTCTCTTTATAATAATTATCTTATAAATATAAAATTTTGGAATTTTTTAATATGTATTCTTTTGGAATTTTTTAATATGTGTCATTATATACTTATTGTTCATGGGTGACAGTATACGGTTTCATTTTTTTTTTTCCCGTCAGAGCACCAGTTTTCTAAATTCTCATTCCCCACCAGATGCTTTCTTAATAACATACACAACAATACATCCCTATCAGAGGAAAGTGTCCATCCAAAAATTTCAGGAGCTTAATCTTTTTTTCTTCCAGTTTTATTGAGATATAATTGGCATACAGTACTGTACACATTTCAGGTGTACAGCATAATGATTTGATTTACCTTCATCATGAAGTGATTATCACAGTAACTTTAGTGAACATCCATCATCTCATATAGGCACAAAATTAAAGAAATAGAAAAAAAAGTTGGTGGTGGTTGTGTTGAGAATGCTCAGAAATTACTCTCTTAACAACTTTTATATATAACATACATCAGTGTTAGTTATATTTATCATGTTGTACTTTACGTCCCTGGTACTTATTTATCCCATAACTGGAAGTTTGCCTTCATCCAGTCCCCCTACACCTCACTCCCACCTCTGGTAGCCACGACTCTGATCTCTATTCCTATGAATGTGTTCGTTTTTGAAATATAATTGACTTACAAAACTATGTTAGTTTCTGTTACACAACATAGTGATTCTACATTTCTATACACTTCAAACTGATCGCCATGATGAGTCTAGTTACCATATGTCACCATACAAAGATATTACATAGTTATTGAAGGTATTCCCCCATGCTGTACACTTCATATTCAGGAGTTTAATCCTTATTGTGATGTTGAAATATAGCCAAATTTAATTTAGACTTTAATATTTTGTTCAGAAAAAAAAGAGGAAAATAACAATTTTAGTGGTGGAGGACATTTTGCTGCCTCTCGCTTTGTGTAGCTCCTGGGGATAGCAGGAGAGGGGAATTGTTCTCCTCTGTTTCAGCAGCATCGGACCTTTGGAGTGTGAGCTCATGACAGTTCTTGAAGAGATTCAAATGCTTAAAGGGTAATTTTTTTTTCACTTTATTCAATTTTCAAATTAATTCTGATTTTAGAACTCAATCTTCAAGCAAGATGGAACTGGACTGTATAATTCATAAAATATTTAATATCAATTTTTTTCTTTAATGCCTATCCCATTTTACATGACTTACGAAAATAAGTTGGCATTTTCTAAAGGATATTTAGATCAGACTCCTTGAGGGCAGAAACAATTTCTTATCACTCTTGTATAACTACCACGGAGCATAGGTACTGGCACACAGTAGGTGCTCTATGAATATTTGCTGAATGAGTAAAATGACTGCCAGTATGTCCCATTAACTTTGAATAAACTGTTACATTTAAAGCATTTAAAACGTTTATGTCTATTTGCTTTATAAGAACATTGTCAGGTGAATGACACACAGTTTTATGTTTCCAAAGCCTGTGTGCAAATTGACCTGGCCATGGAGGACTCAGTTTGGGAAAAAAAAGAAGGCTGAGACTTCCATCAGGTTAGTGGAAGGAGTGGATGGATATACAGAAGTGGAGCAACCTGAAAGCATCTAACCTGACACAAACTTTAACAGGATTCTTGGGAAAGGTCAAAAGCTGTATCAGGAATAAATATGAATAGTGCCTGATGTATGATGCCATGTGGCTTGGTGGGCTGTGTTGCAGCAGTCGTGAGAGCAGACAGAATGAGCACTCTCCTCTCTTTCCATATCCCTGGCTTTTGGTCCAAGAATACGCCGACAGTAAGAAAATCTGTGAAAAAAAGTTAGACAAACATTAAGCTGGAAGAAAATACTAATGACTAAAAACAAATGATTTCTTTTCCCTTTTTAAAAAAATTTATATTATTGGGGTATAGTTGATTTATAATGTTGTGTTAATTTCTGCTGTACAGCAAAGTGATTCCATTATACATGTACATACAACCACTCTTTTTAAGATTCTCTTCCCATATAGGTCATTACAGAGTATTGAGTAGAGTTCCCTGTGCTATACAGTAGGTCCTTATTAGTTATCTATTTTATATATAGTAGTGTGTGTATGTCAATCCCAATCTCCCAATTTATCCCTCCCCCCTGTCCCCCCGGTAACAATAAGTTTGTTTTCTACATCTGTGACTCTATTTCTGTTTTGAAAACAAATGATTTTTAAACTCTAAGGATGCAAAGTAAAGTTAATGTAGATTTGTAATGTAGCTGCCAAAAAACCAATATCGTGCAACTTTATATGGTGTTGTGTATGCCCATGTTGGGGGAGATGGCATATGTTAAGAAATCTTAATATCAGAGACATGGACCATTATGGAATGACTCTAGGGGAGAGTATTCCAAATGCTGTGGGAATGAAGAAATTGCATGTTCGTCAGAAGCAAACAGAAAGATGCTGCTAGCAAGTTTTCTTAAAGGTTCTACCACATTCCCTGCCCATCCTCTAGTTCCACCCACTGCCATTTACACCTTCTCTCAGAAATTCTACTATGAAAAGACAGACCACAAGGAAGTGAGCACGTATTCAAAACCTGTTGTTGTGTTATCTTAGTCCCACACAAACATGGGTAGGAAATGACGTCTGAGGCAGGTGTCCATCCATTCAGGGAAATGAAAGTCTGTGTGAAGCAGCTGTGATGCTTGCAGTATTTGAAGGAAAATTTTTTTCTAGTGTAAACCTACTTCAATAGGAAAAATACTGGATTCAATTTATACAAGAGCCTTTAGGCATTCTTAAGAGTAGATGCAATCTGATTTGGGAGAGTTTTGGGGAGCTGAGTTTTGGCCCATGTATTTGAATATCCATCAAAATCTCTTACTGAAAAGAGTTTAGAATTTTATCTCTCTATCAATATTTTTATGTCACTTATTGCAACGCTTATTCAATACCAAGCCTGCTCCAGTTTGATAAGCAGAGATTGTAATGGTGAGCATGGCCAAATCCTTGCTTAGCCCGAGGCAAAAATGGTAACAGGTTTAGTTGCAACACTTTCCTGGAACATGGTACCCAGAAATAACCAGATCCCAAACACTGATAAGGTTGTCATGGAGAACTACATTCCAGTCTTAAATCTGTTTTTTGCCAAGAAGGGTGGATTCGAATTCTACAGGCTTCTTGAATTTCCACTTAGCATCTTTGTCTACTGAGATGTTCTGAAAGATGCCAGGAGACACTGGGCCAGCCTAAACTGAATTACTGAAATGCTGTGAAGCTGTATGTCCTCTGCTTGTAATTTCACTGTAAAGACTGTGATAAATACTTCTTAAAAATATGCATTAATAAGAAAAGATTAATTAAAACACCAGAATCAAAAGGCAGTTTCCTAAGCATGTTTCTGCATGACTGAATCTGTTGGTTCCAATTTCTCCTGCTCTGTTTTCACTCTACTGTGTCAACTGAGACTTTGAAAAATCTTTGTCATAGTTTCTTCTTTAGAAATTTTTCCATTTAAAACCAAATGTCACTTATTGCTGTGTTTTTCGTCATTTTAAAAATAATATAAACTCTCTAAAACATTAGGAAAGTAGAGAAAATTAGCCATAGTTTTATCATACAAATCTTTTTTTTTCTAGTATGTTGTTTTTCCCTGATATTGTAGTGACCAAACTCATTACAGAACTGTTATCCTACTTCTAAGTCATGATATAAATCTTTTTATATATTATTACATAGTCTTAATAAGAATCATTGGTACATATCATGTTAGCTACTCCTTTCTACATCATTAGTTTGCTATTGTTCAATATTTGCTTTGTTTCCAGTGTTTATTATTATTATCAATACTATGACAAACATAATTTTGAGTATTTTTCATATATAGGATTTTTCCTTAGGATATACTCCATAGATCCATATTGTTGCTTAAAATGGTTGTACAGATATGAGATTGGCTGTTTCACTCTCAGCATTGGTTATTATAATAAAAAAATTTTTTTGCTAGTCTGATATATGCTAAATGATATTTCACTATTATATTACTTCTATTTCTTGCTTACACCCAACCCTTTGCCTATAACATTTGTTGCACATGGTTTACCCATTTGGTTGTTTTCTTTTAAGTTCTGTTTATTAGAATTTTGACATAAAAATTTATAGCTATAGGAATCAAATCTACTTGATATTTTGCTTTATGTTCTTATATTAATGCATATGTATTTCTAAGCTAAGAAATCCCTTACTCATAGAATTTTAAATATTAATTCCGTTTTTGAGTTTTTATATTGAAAAACCACATATTCCCCTGAATTTATTTTCACCCTAAGATATCATGTGATATCCTAGAACTAAACTAAAATTTTCAGCCAACCATGGTATGCCAACATGGTACAACTTTACATGGATGTGTGAGTGCCTGGGTGTTGGTCGAATCCTCAGATGCAAAGCCCATGGATAGGGAGGGCCGACTGTACCAACCATTGTATATGCTCGGGGGATTTTGGCATCCAAGGCGGCTCCGGGAACCAATCCCCTACAGATACTGAGAGACAACTGTACAAAAATTCATACCATGTACACAAATGAGAGGAAAGCAAGGGGAATTTGAGGAAGGGTCAAGAGGTCAGAAGAAAGACTTCAGGAAGTTCTCGTTGGGTTTATTCTCCCTGTTTTTGCCCTTTTCTGAGTGATGGTGCTATTTTTTCCTTTCGCCCATGTATCTTATTACTTGGGTGACCTTGGGTATGTTCCTTAACCTCTCTAAGACTCAAGTTTCTTCCGCTGTTAAATGGGATTGATAATATCAATTACCTCCTGGAGGTTCTCAGATAATATCAATATATGAAAAGTGCTCAGTACAGAGACTCAGATATATGTTATTAGTATATATTACTTTCCTCCATCTCTTACCCCTCTACCAAACTTGTTCTCAGATCCAGATCTTTCATTCTCATTGGCATTTACCAGTTGACGAGTTTGGCCTTAGTAGTCTGTTTCCATTCATTAAGACAAGGTTAAAATTCCTGAAGTAAGCCTTTAAGAGCAACCCAGAAATCCCCGGGGATCTGGGAAATGGAATTATAAATTGAGAAATTGCTCTTGGTTTGCATTGTAGGACCTTAACTGCCCCAGCTGCATGTTTTACGGTACCGGAAGTCTGTAAGAGGTGAAGGATAGTCAAAGTTCTGCATTGCGTCTTCCCTGTTACCATGCCAGGGACCGCAAGCCTGACGGCTTTCTCTGGTGCTAGATGGCAGTTTTCTCTGTGGGTTTTATCTGCCCCCTTCTGTGAAGAGATAAAAACTGTCAGCTTGTGGAAGGCAGCGTTCCCACGGGGCACTTTGGGGTGGTTTTACAGCACCAGGTTGGGAATTTAGCCACTTTTGTTTCTTTTGTCTCAAAACTTGTTTTCTTTTCTTTATTATGCCTGACATTTCCCTGTTAAAAGTTAGATTTCTTTCTTTTACAGAAATTAAAAAAATTCCAATATCCCTGAAAGAGGTTATCAGGCATTTATGACTGTTTACTGAAGGGACTGAAGTGTAAATGAAGGAGCTACGACTCAGACTCTGGAGATGGGTCTGGTGCTGGCTCAGTCACTAATGTGTCTTCTTGCACAGGTCACAACATCTCTGATGCTTGGTTTTCTTATGACCTTTAATATTGCTTTTCTCTCAAATAATGACAATCATAAAAATAGCTAACATGATTGAGCACTTACTTTGTGCCAGGTACCGTGCCAAACCCTTCAAGTGTGTTTTCTAATTTAAATCTCACAAGGCCCTTAGGAGGTAGGTACTATTGTCCTCATTTTACAGATAAGGAAAATGAGGCATCAGAGGTTGAATATTTGCATAAAGATTGGCAGAGGGTAAATTAGTGAGTTAGTAATTTAAACCAGGTCTATGTGATGCTTGTATTAAGTATTCTGGTATAGTTATGATTGGTGAATACTGTCCTGATATCTAGCTGAGAACATGAAATTATATTTGGGGAAGAATCGTTGCAAATTGAAGTAAGCAAGAATTGAAATATTCGAGTAATTTAAGAGCAGATAGTGTAAATAGCTCTAAGATTTGTGACTATCAGATAGATTCGAAGAATATTTTAATAGGATGTTAGATTGTGAGTTTCAGTGGAGGCATTGAATAGATGCAAATCATGAAGGGAAACATTTGAGTTGGGCTGTTGGAGATGAGAGATGGTTTTGAAGTGCTTTGGAGTGAGCTGCTGCTGTGTTGTGAGTCTTACCACACCCCCAGTGCATGGGCAGACCCGTGTGTGTGTGTGTGTGTGTGTGTGTGTGTGTGTGTGTGTGTGTGTGTGTGTGTGTGTGTTAGGGGAGAGGGTGTGGAAGGGATGATTGGCTCTCATATCTAGTTTAGTGGGAAGAACTTCGAAGGCACCACTGGGGGAGCTTGGTATTTGTCCCCGGCAGGTAGGGAAACATGGTAGACTGATGTCAAACTCCAGCTTTGGAAACAGAGAGGTTAAAGGTCAGGAGATGGGTTGGACACCATTTTTGGCAGGAAAATCAGACTTGCTGCTGCTTTGAGATTGGCCTACATTTCTGGAGTTTTCTCAAGCTAAGAGAGTGTTTCCTGCGGAACAAACATTGAAAAGACAGCGGGTTTGGGATTACTGCCAAACTCTTCTCCACTAGACAACACTTTGACAGTGATCAAAGCTAATGTCATAAATGAGGGGGCAGCTGGACACTGTGTGCCTGAAGTCAAGGTTACCTGGGGAAGTACAGTTCATCACTTGTGTATTATTCTAGCTGGAAATGCTTAACCTAATCTATTTATGAAGAAATGCAAGACAAACCC